AGCCCAATGAATGGTCCGGTATGTTAGCATAATATCTTTCCGGCTCCAGTTGTCTCTTGCACGTCAAGCGTAGAAACTGATTGGATTACAGCATTAATACTATGTGAGCCAGTAATTTCCCCCTAGCTTTTGCCATCAAAGTCAGATGTGATTTCTTAATGTACATGGTCGGCGTTCCAAGGAGCGAATGTATGCTTTTCTTTTTCCTCTTTCTTTACGTCCTTGGGTATTATGGATAATTTGCATCTCGAGCATCAATTGATGGGGTTTGAGGTGTCCTTTAGAAGTCAATCAGGCTTGTCAGTGAATTATAGGTGTTCGTTTCTAGAAGAAAGCTGGATGGGATCCCAGAGTAGCTTCGGTCAAGTCGCCTTGTATGCTCTAGTACCACGTGGAAAGTCCCTCACTACGTAGTGGTCAAGGCTGGGGTCATAGTGTTGCATTGCATATACGCGGGCAAGTCAATTATCTTGAGTCTCGGCTTCATGTGCTCCACAGCTCGTACATGGTCATGAGGACTGCTGGAATATATATGCCGACGCTATCTACTTTAGACAGCAAGGCTCAGTCTGCGCCATGCATGCTCCGTGACGACACCTCGTATAAGACAGTCAATTATGGTTGGCCCTTCCCCTGCGTCAGAGTACGCAACGAGGAATCTTCCACCATTCAGTTGCATCTCTTGCAATCGACCATTCACACCGCCGGTATGATTCCTCAGTATCACGGAGTAGGATGATTTGGCCCGCAACTTGGCGTGAGCCATTTCTCACTAGCCGCCAGCCATCTTTCTCATCAGTCGTCACCACTAAAGTGCCAGACACGGAGTTTATTGATTGATTCCTCTTAGGCCGGTCACCGATGGACTATGTTCCTTGGAAAACCACAATTCGACCAATCAGGACCTCATTCTCAAGCCTGGCTTACTGATCTTCGCGTTCTTCACACCTTTCTAGCTTTAGAACGACTGGGGCTTCTGCAGACTGCGGGGATTATCCCGGAATTGGTGGGGTGCATCACACGCTACTTTAGCACTTGGCAAGATACTACTTTCGATTTTCTATGGCTGGCGGCGGGCAAACATCCTATTTGGGTCAGCGAGGAATGGAGAACTCACCAGGAACGTGTCAGATTGTCCGAGAGAAGCGCCGTGCCATGTTCACAATGAGGCCGGTTGGTTGATGGCTGACTGGGCTTACCCCGCCCTGGATTGCTCGCGAGGAATGCCCTCAGCTGACAAACAAGGTGGGATACCATCGGAGAGTGGAGAGTACGGCAATGAGTTGGGATGTGGACTCTGGCTGAATATAAATTCTCCGCAATCCTGCGGATTGCTGAGGATGGGCATCCAGGTGTCGCGTCGTCTTCTCAGGGCTTATCGCGCAGAGTCTGCCTACATTACTCTGACAAGGTTGTCTCGAGTATTAGTCCGGCATAATGGTCCAGTTCAAGTCTGTCTGTACGCTGGCTGTTGCGACGTTTGCTGCGCTGGGTGCTGCGGCGCCAGCAAGGTTGGCAGAGCGAGGTATGACCGACGCTTCCTACAGGTTGAGCTCTGTGCGGTCCTAACTGTTAGGTAGCTGTGTCATCGTCGGTGTTGCAAAAGTTGTCATTGTTTGCGCAATACTCTGCTGCCTCTTATTGTACCAACAACATCAATTCTACGGGCACCAAGCTGACGTGCTCTGCTGGGAACTGTCCGCTGGTTGAGGCAGCCAATACCAAGACCCTTTCGGAGTTCTACGAGTATGTCGATCCCATGCATGAGTAGCTTGCATATCTAACAGAGCTGGTAGTTCCTCCTCGTACGGAGACGTGGCAGGCTTCTTGGTTGCAGACACCACAAACAAGCTACTTGTGGTCTCTTTCAGAGGAAGTCGCACGATAGACACCTGGATTGCGAATCTGGACTTCGGTCTGGACAGTATCAGTGATGTTTGCAGCGGATGCGCGGCACATGGGGGATTCTGGAAATCCTGGGAAGTCGTTGCCAATGCGCTGACGACCGAGCTCAACTCTGCCATTGCAGCTTACCCTGGCTATACCATCGTTTTTACTGGACACAGCTTCGGCGCTGCTCTTGCAACACTGGGGGCTGCTACGTTGCGGAAAGCAGGGATTCCCGTTCAGATGGTAAGTCACCCCTTGTCAACTTATGTAAGGGCGTAAATGGACTAATCGATTTGTGAAGTATGGTTACGGATCGCCCCGTGTTGGAAACAAGGCTTTGGCAACATTCATCACTGGACAGGGTTCCAATTACCGTGTCACACACACAAACGATATTGTCCCCAGACTCCCGCCCCGAGTCTTTGGCTTCAGCCACACTAGCCCGGAGTACTGGATCACAAGCGGCGACAACGCACCTGTCACGACGTCTGATGTCACGGTCGTCCAGGGAATCGACTCGAGCGGTGGAAATGCGGGAGAGGATTCTACCAGCGTTGAGGCCCATAACTGGTATATCGGCCATATTGATGGTTGTCAATAAAGCGCAGTATATAAGCAGCTTTTGGATAGTATAAAAGGGCCAGGATGCCTTAGGCTTGGGCTCATGAATGAGGAATGACATTGATGATCTATTTTTCAACGCAACCAGTTTCTATTGGAGCTGTCCTCTCATGATCATGTCCATTGGTAGAAATAAACTGCACAAATCCAAGGATCCACATAGTGGACATGTGTGGTTCTGGGGAAGTTTGTTTGGTTTGGACTTGGACACCTGGAGTTTATCCCCAGCTTCGTCCACTCAATCTGATCATCGGCTGGTGAAAGCTGGCTCGACGGAATGCATTCTTACTGAGTGCTCATTTGTTCGAATCTAATATTAATTCTGTCATGATTAACGACCAGTAGCGCCCATTCCTTTTGAATGTCTTTACGCAATTGAATCCACCCTCGAACCCTGTCTAAACCTCCAGGCAGCCGACTCTGCGCATTCTCAACATTTCTTCAACACGGCCGCGATGGTCGCTGCTCCATGCTGCTGATACTCTTTCAGTCATCAGTAATAGCGGAGTTGCCATAAAGCCCCCACTCTCGGCCTCTCACCCACGTCTGCAACCATGCTGTTCTTCGGCGGCGGAGTCCAGAGCCCGCGCCGTCGCAGTAAGGAAAAAGCTATCCTCGTCACAATTCTCATCGTCTACGCTCTATACTTTCTGTTCTTTGCGAAAAATTCTAGAGACCAAGAGTCGGCGGTCTCGGCTCATAATGTGGTTCACGATGAAGGGGCGCACCGGGACTCGCGTTCGGGGCAAGCGTCCCCGTCGCATGACAGCAAGAGAATCGAAAAAGATATGGTGGTCGCGAGCATGAAGAGTGATAATACCTCGTGGTTGTTCGAGAATTTCCCCGACTGGCATAAGAGTGTCTACGTGGTCGACGATAAGAACGCAGAGTTGACCGTGGCGCGGAACAAAGGGCGGGAGTCTATGGTATATTTGACGTATGAGCTTTGCTTTGATTTGTTATTTTTTGAGTGAAGGTTAGTACTGATGGCAGATGATAGATACATAATTGATAATTATGACCACCTACCCGACGTGATGCTTTTCATCCACTCGCAGCGCTATCAATGGCACAACGACGATCCCTACTACGACGGAGTTCCCATCATCCGTCGTTTCCAAGTGCCTTATCTCCAAAAGCAAGGCTATGTCAATCTGCGCTGTGCTTGGACTCTCGGATGTCCGGCGGAGATCCACCCGCACACCGATACGCACCGTGACGACGTGCATGCGGGGGAGTATTTCAAAACAGGCTTCATGGAGCTATTTCCTGGGGTTGACGTGCCGGACGAGGTTGGAGTGTCATGCTGCGCGCAGTTTGGGGTCACAAGCTGGAAGGTCCGCGAAAGGCCCAAGAGTGACTATGTGCGGTTTAGGAAATGGTTGTCTGAAACGCCCCTCAAGGATGATCTAAGCGGACGGATTATGGAGTACTCATGGCATAGTATGTTTTTCGATCCCTGAGTCACAGCGTCCTTGAAAATAAGATGCAGTGCTAACAGCTATCAGTGATCTTTGGCCAGGGACCAGTATACTGCCCCACGGCGGAAGAATGCTATTGCAAGGTGTTCGGTTTATGCGATCTGACATGTCCAAATGAAAGGGAATGCGCTGGGCGCTATGTGCTGCCGCCCTACTCAACTCTTCCACAGGGTTGGCCCTACATTGGTTGGAAGGGCCAGCAGCAAGATCCCAGCACGGGACTTCCAGAGAGCTAAGCTTAGATTCGCTGTTGCTCATCTGAGTTAGGTCCGGCCTGCGTCAAGTACCTGTGCTCTTGAGAAGCACACTTCGCCGAACATGCCATGAATGGCGGGTAGAAGTGCTGCACCAATTGAGGGCTATAGCTTGACTGGTTCATTCTGGTTGTACTGCAAGCTGGCTCAAGGGACGTGCCAGTCTAAGTCAACCAATGGAACGTCCTCGAGCTCTAGGAGAACTCAATTGACATGGCCTCGCTCCGGTACATCACCTTCAAGGGCTGGATTTGTCGTCGCAGATACTATCGCTTCTGAGAAGTTTGGTGTCACTATCTCTTTGTCGGCTTGAATTGCCGGAACCATATAGGCTGTTCTGAACGAACCTGTCCAGCATGACGAAAAGTATGATGATAGTTTTGTAATATACTTCTCGATGATACCTATTTACTCTTATAAGACATGTGCATGACAACCCAAGATTAGTGAGCTTTTCCTACCAAGCTCAATTGTAAACGTGACAGCCAGCAGCTCCTCTATCCGTGTCATAGTTCGGCCGAGGTTGACGGGAGTCCCCGCATCCCGAAATCACCTCCAACTCTGGCTCCTCATTCATAGACACTCAACGTCATCATTCACAACAACGGCATCCTGACGACCTACATGGTCAATTAAATCGACACCTCATAGCCCCAATCCGATCTATAGACGCTAGATTTATCCCACGCCGACCCACCTCCCCTCCGCCAGAGCACAACCTCCCCCTCTGTCTACCGGAACAACCAAACACACAATGCTCATAATCGGCCTAACCGGCTCCATCGCAACCGGCAAATCAACCGTCTCGGCTCTCCTCTCCTCAGCCCCCTACTCCCTCCCCATCATCGACGCAGACCTCCTCGCCCGCCAAGTCGTCGAACCAGGCACCCCAGCCTACAAAGCAATAGTCAACTACTTCGGCCCCAGCACGCCCGACCTCCTCCTCCCAGCTTCAGACGATGATCCAACGGGTTCACACCGACCACTGAACCGGCCCGCGCTCGGCCGGCGCGTGTTCGGGACCAGCGAGGAGCGCAAGCGCGACCGCATGATCCTCAACAAGATCGTGCACCCCGCGGTGCGGTGGGAGATCTACAAGGCGCTTATGTACTACTATGTGCACGGCCACTGGGCCGTTGTGCTTGACGTGCCGCTGTTGTTTGAGAGTGGGATGGATTTGATCTGTGGGACGGTGGTGGTTGTGGGCGTGAGGGATCCGGGGGTGCAGATGGCGCGGCTGCGCGCGCGGGATCCGCATTTGTCGGCTGAGGATGCGGAGAATAGAGTGAGGAGTCAGGGGGATGTGCGTGGGAAGGTCGAGAAGGCGGAGTTCCGGGGGACTGGGTCGGCGAGGGGGGTTATTGTGTGGAATGATGGGGATAAAGCCGACCTGGAGAGGGAGGTCAGTAAGGCGATAGAGACGATTAAGGCATCAAGCCCGAAGTGGTGGGCGTGGGTTCTGTTGCTGGCACCGCCGTTGGGAGTAGGCATCGCGGCTTGGAATCTGGCAGTGAATTTCGCGACGCAAAAGAGCTGGCAGAAGAAAGAGAAGGAAGAGAAGGCCAAGTTATGATTTAGAAGGTGATCTGTTTGTCTACAGAGTTATTGATTTGTAAATGGCTGCGGGATTAAAAGCAAGCCCCAGCGGATCTGTGCGGCGTTCTAGAGGTAACTATAGACTCAGTAATACAAATAGCTCGGATTGAGCAAACGCATATTTGAGGAATGTGTCTCGTCGGATGTTTGGACAGGGTTTTCTTACAAGGCCAATATCGGGCTGACATGAGCTGATCTCTCTGAATATGCTCCTCTTGTTTGCTTTGGCAAACAACAGATCATTGGGAGGTACAAGTGCAACTATGCTCTCCTTCAAGGCCATCATGCTGGCCATCATGCTGGCCATCTTATAAGAACATAGCAACTCGAGCTAAACTAATTTGCACCACAAAGTGCTGGTAATTTATAAGGTCATCATTGTACCCGTCGCTGCCTTCACGCTCCTATAGTTCAATTGGATTTGAGACTCAAGAGGTAGTCCCACAAAAGATGCCTTGCCGTCGTTTTCGCCGTATGGAAGACTTTGAGACGGAGCAACCCCGCCTGGTTCGAGTGACGTTGCGAGTTGACAAGGCACGCTCAACAATGCCAAAGGGTGTGGGCCCCTTGGGCCTGGATATCAAACGATCCGTTGGCAGAGATATGGGCATCGCGGTGTTGTTTCCAACCCATAAAAGAGAACTCCAATCCGTTGAGGACTCGAAAGGTCCAACTGCTCGAGTAAGGTGATCACTCTTGGGCATAGACAACACTAACCCAAGGAAAAGCAGAAGTCAACCTCAGATGAGGCTCAGACACCATTGCAGTCTCGGTCGTATGAGACCTTGGAGGATCCCACAAGGTGCTCTCCGTACGACGCAAAACCGCAATACTTTGTGGAAATCATGCCAACGTTGCTCGAAAATGTGCAACCAGAAGTCGGATTTCGTTCCGTTCCTTTCACTTTTCCCGATGACTCGAAGATTCGAGTCTATTGGTCAAGTCCACGAGTCTCGTCCGGCTTCGAAAATGTACCCATCATCTGCAACAAGTCCGAGCCACAACGAGCGAACCATTTCACGCGGAAAACGCAGGTCTCACAGCGCCATAGCCAAGGAGATGGTTCTGAAAGCAGGACAATTGGAGGCAATGCAGACAGAAAGCAGGTTCGGCATCATTTGACCATGATTTGCGCGCCCTTGAGCATCGAGCATGTCCATTTGAGAAGATAAACAAGAAATTCGTCGTCGACTGACCGTTTATTTATGCTTGCGCTTCTTCTGCGATTTCTCGCCCCCACCAAAGCTATGACGACCTCCAGAAATACTTGATAGCTGAGACAATTTCACAGGTCTCTGTCTGGCCTCTTGTTTCGCCTTGTTGATCATAGAATTAATCTGTTCAGGATTTGTCGGATCTGCGCTAGCATCGGAATGCTGATGGATGCCACTATCAGCTATATATACTCGTAGTATGCCGAAGACAATCACAAACCTCGACTTTGTTTTTGCGCTTGAAATTTCCGTAAGCCTGTCGACCACCGTAGGCTAGATCGTCGTCGTCCGCATCCAGAGAGTCCGCAGCAATGACAAGGGGTTGTGCTGCATACTCATTGCCCATATCTTCCGCTCCTGAGTAGTCGAGCACCCATTCGGTTTCGCCAGCATCTGCAGCTTGCCTGGCGATGGCTTCCCTTCGCTTTTCTTCCTCAGCTGCGAGAGCAGCCGAGATGGCTTCTAAATCTGACGATGGTGTTGCACCAGGACTCTGTGATACGCCTTCGCTGGAAAGTCTTGGTCGTTTCGGTGTTGAAGTGGTGGACTGTTCGGCGGAGGAAGTCTGGGGTACTTCTTTGCTTGCAGCGGTGGCCGCAGCTCGTTGCATGAACTGCACGCACTTGGTCAGCCGAGTCGAGAAACAAATCGTAGAGGACATTGCTTTTGGCGCACCTTCATAGTTAGTAGACGTGACGACATGGTTTTTTCTGGCTTAGAGCCAGAGGACGTAGATGGAGGCATGATGACGCTTCTTAGATGAAAGAGGAGGACGCAAGTAACATAAACAAAGAGGGCGTGAATCAAAACCCAACCCTTGAGCAGGTAGTACTTGGTTCAATTCCTGACTTTGGCTTGACGAGTGAGACCTTTTCAAACAGAAACAACGATCACATTAAAAACAGTGACCGAAACAGGCAAGAAATTATTTCATTGCGAGCGGCAGAATTTCGCCGTAGCAGCCGCAGGGGCGGCTCCCATTGGTCAAACAAGCGGCCGCGCGAGCTCCCGCAAACCTCACCCTTCATCCCGACTACAACCTCCGCCCTCCGCCGCCCAAGACACACCTTTTCCTTTGTGCCACCAGGGACCCCGACTGCCCAGCATGTTGTCCTGTGCTCGAAGCCGCGTCGCGGCCTTTTCCACGGCGTGGACTCCCCGATTCGTCGCCCGGGCCAGCTACTCGACAACCGTGCCTCGCCTGACAGAGAACCGCATGCAAGCCAACGACCCGACCCCGCGAACTCCCAAGCCCAATGTCTCTGCCACCAATGCTACCCCTACCGACTCGCAGGGTGTATGGGATGCTCCCCTGCGCGAGGAGCCCGAGGCCGGCGAGCGTAGCCGCCAGCTTCAGGCCCCCAACCGTGCCACTACATGGGCCGCTAGCCAGCAGCCGAGGGAACAGGCTATGACCGGTCCTCGTTTTGAGCAGACCATTATGGAGCTTCAGGTATGTAGCGAACTTTTGGCGGGAACTGATTGGAGTGTCAATGCATGACATGTATATCTAACATGGATTCCTTTAGCCTCAACCCTTGGCCGCCATCGAACTTATCCACAAGCAGCCCGTGCGCTGGACCAACAAGAGAATTGTCAGCTGTGACGGCGGCGGCGGCCCGTTGGGTCACCCCCGTGTCTTCATTAACACTGACAAGCCCGAGATTGCTACCTGCGGCTACTGCGGTCTTCCCTTTGTGAGTTCTTCCTGTGGATTTGGAGCATGGACACGCTGACAAATGATCTATAGGCCCACGAGCAGCACCGTGCATACCTCAAGTCTCTCCCCGCTACCAGCTACCCCCTTGAACCCACCGGTGATGCCACTGAGGTGAACGAGACGCAACGTGTTACCGAAGGTGCATTCGAGCAGCGGTAGAAGAATGGTTGTTTTCATTGTTGGCGTTGATGAATTGTTTTGATATTCTTTAGCCCTTGCCGGGCTCATGTACAGATTTGTACCAGATCAATGAACTGCTAGATTCAAGTTCTTCCGTTTAGGGTGATGGGCATAAGCCTCAATCATTCACTGCTTGATTTATCTGCGGTTATGATATATACACCAAGCATTCATATACTATTAACAAAGACATTTCCACGGCTAGCGTTGCGTCTATGCTTTCAAACGAGCCTTCCATCCACTTATAAACTTAGTGACTTTGGTAGGCTGTCATAGACACCCCCGAACACCACCCTCCCCTCCACCAAGTCACGCCTTCTCACCCTGAATTGTCGCAACAACCTTGCGCGTGTGCCGACTGGTCCGAAACTCCAGGTACCAAATCCCCTGCCACGTACCCGTTGCCAACCTCCCATTCGAGATGGGAATATTGACCGACGCGCCGACAAGGGCGGACTTGATATGAGCCTGCCCCATTCATTAGCCCCCATTCTCCACCTCGACAACGTAATTCACAAACGACAGAAGCGACAAATAACATAAAAGAACATACCGGCATATCATCCTCCCCCTCAGCCGAATGCCGATAGAGATTCCCCTTCCGATCCGCCGGCGCAATCCGGTCCAGCGCGTCGCTCATATCGGCGCGCACATCCTCGTCCCAGTTCTCGTTCAGCGAGAGCGCGCAGCTGGTGTGCTGCACAAACAGGTTGAGCATGCCGACTTTGTAGTTGCGTATTTCGGGGAGTTGGGAGAGGACTTCGTCGGTTATGAGGTAGGAGCCGCGGGAGCGAGAGGGAAGGGTGAAGGTTTTTTGGAACCAGGACATTCTTGCGGATTGAAGTTGGAGCTGGTGATTGATGCTGTTAGTTGGTGGATTTCTGGATGGTGGGACGGTGTTGCGGGGTTGATTGAGGGGGGTTGAAATGGGTGGTAGGTTGTAATTGATAACGAGGAATAAGAAGATTGATGGCTTTTGGATTCAATTGACCTACGTTTGAAGTGTGAGTTTGAAACAGTCGCTTTATACAGTTTGCTGGAGTCAACTGGCTGGTTTGTCTGGCGAGTTGCGACGGTGGGGTTCGCTGCTTTGGGCATCGACGTCATTCGGCAAAGTCATACTACGGGGTTGACCCTCCCACAGCTAGGTAGGTATTTTTCGATGTTGATTGCTCAGTTCGCATATTACAACAATAATGCGTTATTGTCTATGCTCCCAAAAAGACTGACTGTGCACAGATGGAGTAGGAAGTTTTGAGCAATTCAACCTAGTTGCCAATCTCATGCAGACTCATTTATTATCATCATGGCGCCGAGCACACACTTGCATGCACAGAAGGAGGGTTACTACTTGCATCGCCCCAGTTCGCAGACCCGAGAGCTTTGCCAGCAGCTGTAGTATCGTCCGACAGAATCTAATGCTTGTCAGCAAACTCCGGACTGCCATGGAAGAAACAGATGAAGAATTCACATAATAGCTCTTGTCAACATAATACCACCAGTCATCACTGCGAAAGGCATTATCTGTTGACTGGCTGATGGGATCGTTCCAGCCGGTATTGCGGTCATCAAAGTGAGCGTGCTTGGACCAGGAAACATAGACCTTTGGATGGTCATTGTTCTGCACACCGTTGGGATTTTTGGCGTCCCCGGCGTTGATCTCGTCGGTGGTAAGCGTGTTCTGGATATTTCCCCATGCGAGGTCATGGTAGCCGCTGTGCGCAGAGAGAAGGGCACGGGACGGCGCCCACATGTTGTTTGCGTCTCTTGAATGGATGATGATCACTCTCTCCCAGTCACTGGACACCGATTAGCTCCTCCGATTGATTGTCTTGCAAATTCAGTATACTCACTAATCATGACCAGTTTCGATACCGACGACCTCAGCGCCATCTTTCTCGTAGAACAGGTTATACACCACCCGCACTTCATTGTCATTACACCTCTTGTAAGTGAAGTATATCGGGAACGCCGGTCCGCGGTTACCGATCCCCACGCCGGGGTTGCGGCATTTGCATCCAACATTGGGATACCCACACTGTGGCGCGGCTGGTGTTTTGTGAGCGTCGTCGTAGATATCAGACGAAGTGGGAGAGCCCCCAAAAGCCCATGTAGGATAGCATGGAGGCCGATTCAGAGCTTGACCGAAAAACCACAGCGGGGCGTAACGATCCGCCAATTCGACGCCTCCTTGACTCAGAAGATTGCTCATCTCATTGTCTGTGATTTGAGTGACTGCTGATGCCAACCTGGCAGTCAGTGCAGCAAGACTGATGAAATGAAGTTTTGACCACATAGTAGGTTACAAGTTGTTTGGTAGTGGTTCACAGTTGCATACTTAGGATGAGGAGTATCCATCATCAAATCTACCTTGTGCTGAGGGAATCCCTTCTCTTAAATCCTTGCAAATGAGCGCCTTGAGGAACCCGATCCTGGTGAGTACTAGTGCCTATAAGATAGGGTAACATTATGTTGATGACCACAGATTGAAAGCTCGCGTTACATTTCAAGGTGTCAATATTTTGAAGAACTTAGTTACTAATGAGACGCGTCCCAGGAACCAAGTGACGAGATTGGCTGATGGATGGCAGTCGAATGTAATTAGAACGGCCCATCATGCATAGTTGTCTCAAGTGAGAAGCCGAAGCTGAGTGATCAGTGATCGCGTCGATCACAAGCTCAACTGGGGGCCGTTTCTAGGACGAGTTTCCCAATGCGGTCCAGGGCCCCGAGTGACACTGTGATAGCTAATCTTCCACTAGCATAAATCGGTAATTAGCTTCATGTTATTACTGCAACATGCTCTGAAGAATGGCTTTTATTGGCTTCCGGGCTCTAGTGTAGGCAGACCGCGGGAATGAAAGTATAGAACAGAGATGAGTTATGTTGAAGATATCATTCAGTAAGCATTTATCAGCAGACCCAGTACAGAAATTGAATATGCAATATGTATGCTTATTCTGATTTCTTATTGCCATAGTCGTCCACGAGCTCACTCTCTTCATCCATCCCTGACCACTTAGATTTGCCATCTAGAATTTCTATACAACGTTTGTCGTAGAAAATATGACAACTGCGTGGTAAAGTTAGCCAGGGATTTGCGATGGCAATCGTTGAGAAGTGATGACATACTCAGGCGCGAAAGCCTCCCTCCACTTCTGGCGCTCCTCGTCGGAATCACCGGCGACAATGGCTTCTGGGAAGATGAGGCATACATTTCGTCCTTCGTCCATGATAGGAGTCCGACAGAATGAGCATGATACTTTTGTTGGGACCTCGTATTCTCTTGTACTGTGAGCAGAAGAATAGAACGAGAGACCATGGGCTCCCTTGTCGAATGTCAAATCAGACTTGTGAAAAATCGCAGCCCATTGGAAGGGAGCTCCTGCGAATAGGTCAGTGTCTCTCAACGTCTTGGACATCGCATGGACTATATGGCATGGTCTACTCACCGTGCATGATTTGGCAACCTCGACAATGACAGTACTTGGCCTTGAGCGGCTTGTCTCGGTTAATCTTATAGGTGACTTGACCACACTGGCATTTGGCTCGCCACTTCACTGGACCGAATTCCTCAGGGGGTTGAATCAGATACGGAGGACGTTGCTTCCATTCCTCATTCTCCATAGGGCGCTCAGATGGCGCGTTGGAGGCATTGGATTTGGGGAGTGACGATCCCTTAGCTGGCATGTCTTCTGCTGTGTTTGAAAATGGCCTGAGCTGGAAACGATACTTTGACGCGGTCTGAGCAGTCTTGGTCAGATAAACCCGCTTGATTGGCTGTTGATGCTTCACTGGGCGAATTGCAGCCGAGAATGACCAATTGATAGCACAACGAGCGGTTGCGAACCTTGTGCAGAGCATGAAAATGAATGTTTTTTAGAGAGAACAATGCGCACTCTGGAGTCTCACAGCTCCGATGCGACTCTCTTGCATCTTGCTTATATACCATGGACAATGGGTAATTCATCCCATTTCTTGAATGTATTCAATCATGATGCCATGACATCATGACGATGTCAGGCAAAATCAATACTGGACAGACATGCCTTGACTTCCCTGATTGACGGCTGAAGATGTCAGGGACCTCCCTGGATATAGACATAACCTTATCAAGCTTCCCCAGAATCGAATAGAAAGTTTCTTGATTTCCTGCAGATTCAAACCCAATCTGACCTCATACGAGAGTCTGGCCAACTGGAGACGGCCCTCCACTTAACATAGGAGTTAAGTGTATGATAGAAGTAGCAGCCATAACTGACCAATGAGTAATATCAATCAATTGTTTTGATATTGGTACGGAGTACTCCTGCAACCTTACTTTCGGGAGGATATTGGTGCGAGTACTTATACTCATAGGACGATTATCAAGACCCGATTGTTGCTCACGTGCTCTCAGAATGCTGCACTGATCACCAGCTCAATTATGATTCAGTCCAATTATTAATTAATCAAAGAGGTCTGGATTGGCTTGGGCAACATAGACTATGACTGGCTACTTCGAAAAGAACAGTTCAAAGGCTGAAACGTCGTTCATTTACAACCCCACTGGTTTTTGTCTGATCGGCCAGTTCTGACTGCCAACATGAAACACCCGCCCGCGTTTCGTACAAATCTCCTAGCTTGGCAATCGGCATCACCTTTGAATGTCTATTCAAAGGGTTGCTGGATATCCCTGTGCATGTCAAAGAATTGACGGCTAATAATCGACATGGACGTTGAAATACTCATGCGCGACAAATGTACTATTAGGATGGCGACCTGTTGATAGGATCGATAAAAATAGACAAGCCCAAAGAGGAATATCCCAATCCTTCATTCCTCCATTCAAGACCAGCCAAATAGCCAAGACCAGCGACAAAGAAGCCTCCAGCGCTTGTCCATCGCCCTTGGTCCCAATCACATTATCACACTTCCAGCCGTTAAAAAAGGAGGATCCTACCTTTCGTTTGCCGTCTTCTACTCCGTGGTCGAAACTCAATCGGAAACTGAACCCAAATTTCGACGGATAAAGGCATCAAAAAGGGATATCTGTCTCTCTGCTTTCCAACTGTCCAATCCTCCCAGGTCGTCCAATAATCCAACTCACTAAGACAAGTGCATGTCCCAATCATAATCGACTGTCTCTCTCAGCCTCGCTTATCCTCTAGTTTGATGATCCTCCGGTCCTCCCCCTCCTTCATCTCTATTTAATTTCCAGTTGATCACTCTTCAAACCTCGCCCCCCCTTGGTGATCTTCTAACTCAACAATCCTTATCAATGTCGTCTTTCTCCCACTCCGCAAACTGCCTCCAGCAATAATATCATAATCATTATGGGCTTGTTTAACCGGCTTCGACGGCGTTCCAAGAGTCACAGCCGTGCGGGGAATGCGGCCAGCTATGAACATCTCCGCATCTCTCCCGATCACAGTGTTCCCCCAGTTCCCACGCTAAGACGAGACTACACCAAGATCCTTCCTCCTCCAGTTCTGGCGCGAATCTTTGCTTTTGTCTGTCCCCATGCAGCAGACAGCAGCTATGCGACTTCCGAAGAGTCCATGACCGAGGATGGCTGCATGCTCTGTGACATGCGCGACCTAGCACACTGTGCTGTGGTGTGCAAGCGGTGGTATCTGGCTGCTCGAAGTGTATTGTAAGCTTCTCTGCTCTGGTCTACTCGTGTCTTGTGTTGTTCGTTCTCCCCACTCATATGCATCTCAATACACAGGTACTCCCATGTCCGCATCGATGCCGTCCACTACTGCGAACTTGAAGTCCAATTGGCAGCCAGGCGAAAGCGCCGTTCTTTCTTTGACCGCAATGGTGATCCCATTGATGCACCCCAGGCCCGGTTGGAATTATTCATGCGCTCAGTGCGACATGCACATGAGCTGGGAAGCATGGTCTTGTCTCTGCGAATGCCATACATGACGCGTGAAGCAAACAAGGCGGGCATTGCCCGAACGATCTCGGTGTGTCCCAACCTTCGATACGTTGACTTGCCGGCTGGCCTATACAGCGATGACCCGGCGTGTCTTGCTCTGAAGCAAGAACTTATGGCCCGTTGTCCCGATATACGACGCATGGCCTATCGCCATGGCTCCGAAGGAAGCTTCTCGCAGTTGCCCGGATCCCGTTTGTGGATGAACTTGGAAATCTTGGAGTTGTCGCGACTCCAAATTGAGCCAAACATTCTCCGCTTTAGTCTGGGCGCTTTCCCCCAGCTGCGTGAATTGGCATTGGAAGACCTCCCATGGCTTGACGATTCCGCTTTCAGACATTCTCAATCACTGCCTCCCTTTCCAGCCGTCCAACGGCTTACACTTCGAGATACCCCCAAGGTCACGGCAAGCGGGCTTGCCGCGTTCTTCTCCCTTCCTGTGAATCGCAAATCATTACATTATCTGACTTTGTCGGCCACCGGAGTGCTTCCATCCACCCTCTATCAAATTCTAGCCTTGGCGCCATGTCTTGAAGGACTATTTTTCATTCAAGAGGTATCCAGATCCTTTCCCACGGAACAGGTACCACCGTTGGTGTCCACGTCGCTCAAAATGCTGCACTATGAGATTACTTCTTCAAGCGCATCTTATGGTCTAGCACCTGTTGCAGCCTCATACTATACCTACCTGATCTCTTCTTTAATGTCAAACTGTCTTCCAGCTTTACGCGACTTATATGTTCGCGACGCCAGTTTCCCAGAAGCCCTGCTGCTTGCACCTCCACCTCGAATCTTTGGAGGTGGTGAAAACGGCCCGCAGATCCCTGCTGGCGGTCTCTCGCAGCCCCTCAATGTGTACAGCAAAGGCTTGGACGAACTGGAATGGAACTTTACTCCGTACGAGCCGCCTCAGACGCGCGGCCGGCGGGAGAGTACGACCCGTCCGGTGAGCTTCCATGACGCGCAGTTGAGTCGGACTTGGGGAGGAGACGCAAGGAAGAGTGTGCTCGTCGGAAATGGATTCGGCGGATTTCTCGCCGTACCCGTCGACGACGATCGTCCAAAGAGTAGTGGAGGCTGGAGACGTCAAAGTCGGCAAGACTTATGGCGGTGATTCTGCTGATCATTCCAAGGGGGTGTGGCCGTGTGATATAAGTGATATATGACCAACTACGGAATAATGGCATAATGATATACCCTGAAGTATCGAATTGTGGGCTTTTACATAGATGGCACGTTCTATTTATTTTCCAGAAACAGAGCAGCTGAGTGACAGAACTTGAGCTACGAGGTAGTCTCTGCGACTCTCAACAGAGACCCTTCTCTTGGATCAAAATCTGGACCAGAGATTGTTCTGGACTGTTGTTACAATACGCGGGTTTGGTCTTGAGGTACCGGAAGGTTGGGCAACCTCCTTCCATTTGTGGTACCGAAATATACTTCATCCTCGTTCGCTTCTTGCCTAGCATTAAACTTCTATCTTGGTATCGCAATATCAGCACGATCGTTCACCATGGTTTCCTTCTTCTCTCGGAGCAGTCGGTGTTAGAGTCGGAATCTGCGATCTCAAGCCCTCTCCTCTGTCTTGAGAACAGCTAGACGATGGCTGCAGTCATTTCAGACAATAATAACGCTCGAGATGGGATGAACACCGGGGAGGATCCGTCAGAGCTAGAAGTCGTTGCAGAATCCAATCGCAGAAACCAGATGGCATCCTCCATCGCAATGTGAGTTCCGCAGAGGCCACAATCATGTAGATTTACTAAGGAGATCTGTCCAAACAGTACCCATGTACAGCGACTCTCTGATTCTTTGCGGCGATCATATCTTTCCAGCCCATAAAGCGACCACCTGCTCGCAGTCCGACTTTTTTGCCAACGTCTTTGACTCGCATTTCTCCGTTGGTTACCGAGTTGCTTTCTAGTCACTAACGAGCAAGCCTTCTGACCACGATATTGCAGGAAGCCTGCACGGGGCGAATCAGGCTCCCTGATCATCCGCTGGTCGTCCCTTCTGCTGCCTGATTACCTCTATTCAAGCGATTACACATTCTATCTGGATTATGATTTTCCTACATCGTTCTTAGTTGAAGGACAAAGTTCACCGGGCGATCTTATCGGTCAGTCCAGAACCTAATGCTGAAGCAGGTACATTCCTGACATTGCGGGAACTGTAGATCGTCTCCAATGCTGCAAGCTTTCTGTTCATATACACGTGTTCCTCGTCGCAGATCGCCTTCTTATCAGAGGATTGAAGTAGCTTGCCAAGCAAAAGTTTGCGACATTCTCAGGAAAGCATCGTTTCCAACCGTATATCATCGTGCCGTTAGGGAAGTTTATACAATGACTTCGATACACTATCGACATTTGCGTGGGGCAGTCGTCAATTGTACTTTGGATACCCTACATAGTCATGGCGAAAGGGGCCACTTTGACCCCAATTTCCTGAGGCATATTCTCGAGGACGTTCCCGAGTTCCCACAGGACTTGACGACTAAGCTCGTCGGTGAGTGGCTGGATGAGAAGAGTATCGCTTCGGAATTGATGCAAATCGCGGAATATTTTCGGCTTTGTTTATGGATGGATTAGGTATCTTGGGTATAATTGATAGCATAGCAGGAATACTATTCATCAGGTTGGCGGGACTGAAACCCTTTGCACTCCGTTGGGCGTCGACATGTGTTTTATAGAAAAGATTCGCTTGTTGTGCAAGTCTTTCAGGAACTCACTTCATGATAGTCTAGAGCGACTGGTACTTGATGACTATGAACCGATTATTCTCTGGACATCCTGAAATGAACAGTGGGGATACTGCTAGAGGAGATTCTACCATCTAGCATGCCCTGCCCACAACCAACGCGGCCACATCATGGCTCTCCAATTCCACACTGTAATGATCTCTCACACAACCCAAATCCTTCCCGGTCCAGGCATCCGTCACATGAAATCCAGTGCGCCGTTTCCCCTGCCTCTTGAGCTCAGGAACCTCCTTCCACACAGCCGTACGCGTCTGCTTCGTATTTTCCGAATTCAGCATCAGCACCAGCGTGCCACCCAGCGTCGACGACGCGCCGGACCAGTACTCTGCCGGGTGAGCAGGGTCAAACGTCCAGTCAGGATTGTACCCCCATTTATATGGGTGCGCAGGACGGCCGATCACCGGGTCCTGGTGGAACTTTAGGAGAATCTTGTTTGAGAGGATGGCGAGATGGGCCTGGCTGATGGAGTCAAGCTGGCGGTCGAGTCAGTACATGTCCACTGTCTTGATGAGACTGATTGCAGAGCCAAACGTACAGCAGTCCCGATGATCAAGGGCGACTTCATCGCCGCCCAGAGCGCAAAGTGAGCTCTGTTCTCTGCTAGTGTGAGGTTGCCGTTGCCGACCTCCAGCATGTCCGGGTCCGGATGGCCCCAGAAATCAACATAGTTCATCAGGAAGGAGTTCTCGTTGGCGATTGCGGCGATGCGGGGCCAGGATGCTGATGGTATCGGTTAGATAAAGAGACAGGTACGATTGATTGTTGAAGCTTACGGTTGATATCCCCGGACATGCGCCAGGAGTTGCCTGTCTCGTTGCCCCAGGCGTTCACGTCCGCTTGGCCCCAGTCACACAGCGAGTACAGGATCGTGCGGTCGACGCTGACCAACGCATCGCGCATCCGCCTGTACCGCTCGGCTGTCCGCGAATTGCGCCAGTCGTAGCCCGCCGGCGCGGGATTCTTGTTATCGGGACAGGTCCCGTTGGTGGCTTTACTGCTCGGGTCTGGGACGCAGTAGGTGTACGCGTCGGTCCAGTTCGAGGGGACACCGCAGTTGTCGTACTTCAGGTCTTATTGAGCGTGGTTAGTTAGCTGGAGTGTACTTGAGATATAAGACTTGAGACACAAAACATACAGTCAATGCCCCATTCCGCGAATGTCTGGGCGTCGATAGCTTCGTGACCCAGACTGGCAGGGTATCCGGCGCAGGTCGTCAGCCCGGCGCCTTCACTTCGTCAGCGATGCTTGCTCATGGATGGGTCTATTCGCCGTGACTCTGACTCACTGCTGTAGATCCCGACTTTCAGCCCCAGATCGTGGATCTGGCCTGCTAGGCCCGAGATGCCGTCAGGGAACTTCGCAGGGTCCGGGACGATGCGCTGCGTGCTCGCGTCCCGTCCGCTCTTGACGGACCAGCAATCATCGACTACCATCGTCAACGTCAGCACCATCCTGGGAGTCGAACAAACGCCAACTCACTATTGATATACTCATATCCCAGGTCCTTCAGGCCCAGCTTGACGACCTCGTTCGCGGCAGTCATGATCTTGGCGGCATCAATATCGCAGCCAAACGCATTCCACGAGTTCCAGCCTAGCGCGGGTAGTTTCCCCTGCTGAGTCTTAGACTGCTGCTCGTACGAACGTTGAAAGAGAAGATTATCTTATTCTTACCACATTCCCCGGTCTAACGAGGGCATTGCTTCCTTGAGGGAGGGTTAACACTGCAGCTGCTGTGGCCAGAGAGAGAAACTTCGTCATCTCGACTTGGTCCCTTGTTGCAGAGAAATGTGAAATTTAAGTCTCTAGGTTTGATTCTCAGTGTGAATACAACTTAGAGAGGTACGCAGAGTATATATATATGGCAAACATTCCCCGCAATCGGACCACCCAAACAAGCATCTGCGACAAGCGATGCTGAGGGGTATCATCGCTGATCATCAGGTCCTCGAGCCAATCAAGCATATCCGGATAATTGCTCTTGGAGAATACTGTCTAAGCATCTTGCTTTTGGAGGCTAGCGCTGCCTTGATCGACATATATTGTAACGGTTGCATGCCAGATACTCCGTGCAGGTTGAAAGGCGGAGCACGGACGATATACCGTGCTGAAATGAGAAGGTGAGATGCATGTCTGCGACGTACTTTGCATTAGACATCCGGGATAAGTCCGCGGATTCTGACTTGATGTATGAAGTATATTCCTTGTGGTCAAGACTGGGAGTATTGCCAATGTCTTTCTTGTAGGTGTGATGATGTCTGCATGGAATATTATAATGGAAGATTATGATCATGCAGTGTCTAACCACCTGCCTGCACAGCAGTACTCTATCTACCGCCCAGAGCTCTTTTCATGATACATGTCTATCGTGAAATCATTAGTCGTACAACAACAACAACAGCAGCACAGCAACAACACCGCTGACGCAGCAGACCGTCTTATATCCTTCACTTCCTGACCAACTATTACCTGTACCAAAGAAGCCGATCACCACAGAAGAAATGTCATGCATGAAAATGTGGAGAAAGACGAATATCAAGCACCGACTCATTGAGTGCCCGTGCCTAGAATCAATGCTCGCGCTTGCTGAGGATCTGTGCCCAGGACGCTGATCAGGTATTCAATGCTACACACGTTAGCAAAAGCCGAAACAGAAAGACAGTGGGATAGCTTACCTAGCTTCAGAAGCCAGCCTGCGCTTCTCTTTTTGGAACTCCTGCTGACATGATTCCCACACCGCGGCACGTTCCTGCGGTAGCACAGTCTTGACGCGGAGCTTGAACGATGCGCTCACAGGCCGATGGTCGGAGGCTCGGACCTCGTGTCGTCGGTAGTCCAACTGCTTGATCCGACCTAGCCCCCTGTAAAGTACACGATCGCACCACGCAGGGGACCGTTTCTTCTCACTCGAGTCGTATTCGTCGGTGCCGACATCGTACTTGTACGTCGGCGCGAACGTGATGGGCGCCTCCGTGAATGACCGGAGTCGGAAGCCGGGGTTCTTCCGCCTCGACGCCAGCAGTTGGTCTCGCTCGAGCAACTTTGCGAGGTTGTTATTGCGAATATCCTCGATGATCACATTCCGTGGGATTGAGTCGATTCGGTAATTGAGATCACCGTTGAGAATGCAAATCTCATGGTCCATAATCATCGTGCCATCACCGCCGCTGACAAAGTGGTTTGCCCGAGTGGTAAGGCTGTTCTCTACCGGAAGCACTTCGGACTCGAGAATGGCTGCAATGTCATTGTTGCGGTGCGCCGTTTGCGACTGACCGGCTGCTAAATGGCAATTCACGAAACAGAAAGAACTATCGTCCAGTACGAAGCGAAGAATCAGGGCACCCTACGCAATCAGTTAAACCGGACTAAAAACCAGAGCAGTCCCTCAAAATACATACCTTGTTTCCGTGCAATCCTCCCATACCCCGCTTCACCTCTGCAGCGCCGATGTTCTTGATCCTCTGTCGTTCCTTATGCTTGACAAAGACGCAGGTAAAGAGACCAATGAGATTCGCTGAATGAAGAAGGACATACGACTCCTCGAGGGGCATGCAGTCGTTGATACAGCGAGTCAAATGCTCCATCCATACCCGGTACTGACGGCTCATATGTTCTTTCTCTCCGCTGTCTTTCTTCTTGCTTCCCATCAGCAAGCTTTCTAGAGACGAATCAGTAAAATGCACAAGTGAGGCAGCTCAGACTTATACTCACTGGCTGTGATTTTCTTGTTCTCTAGATCCACAAGCTCCTGGAAGCCGAAGACCAAAATCTCGGGTGGATTCTCGGGATGGATTGCCTCTTGAATGAAGTTGCTGGAGCGGACAGTACCTGGCGTAGACGCCCCAGCATTCCATGTCACAACTACTGCCGAAATCTCACGGAATTTGCAGAATTCTACGTCTCTGCTCTGCATGCGGGTTTCTGTTGAAGTTAGTTTCCACTTCTCATCCATCTAACACGGAGAATATCGACTTACCCAACCAATCATCCTCCAGCATTCCATCCCAGAGACGAATGCAATTGTCGTCTCCTAGCGAGGTCACCTGCAGACGATTCATGGTCCAGACGCTACTGGAATCCAGTAGGAAGCTAGAGACTGGACCGTCATGCGCTCGCCAATCCTTCTTAACCATCCATGGGTTCGTCCTCGTGTCGTAGACATAGATCATGCCGGTCTTATACGCCGCCCAAAGATAATCACCGACCACGCCTAAGCAGTTAATCTTGTAAACGCTTACATTGACGACTGCTAGACAAGCGTAATCTGTGGAAGAGTACACGGTAACCTTGCCATCCGCATGGCCCAGGTACACACGTCCCCCATCTCTCGTCGTATAGGTACCGGACGTGACATCACCAGTGTGCTGCGAGCCCAGTGGTTTCTTCAGAACTTTGAATGAGACATCGTCACGTGCGTTTGGCTGATATACGTGGACCTCCTTGCCAGTGGCCAGCCATAGTGTATCTCCGACAACCAACGAGAATGTATGTCCCCGGGCGACACGGTCATAAGGATTATGGTAGCTGTATTGAAGATTTGGAGTCCCAGACTCGTCAGGCGGCCAGACAAGCAGTCGTCCCTCGTCGTCAAGGGTCCACATCTCCTTTTTATGTCGGAGGATTTTAATCACTTCACGACGCGAAGGATAGGAGCGTGTTGCTACAATGGATCGAGTGGAGATGTCCACTTCATGGATTTCTCCCGTGCTCATGCCCAGCCATAGCCGCTGACCCTCATCTTCCAGGCCGGTACCTGGCTTGAATGCTATCGATAGACTCTTCACAGTTTCACCGTGGCTGAGACTCATGATTTGTTCTCCGTTGGTGAGGTCCCATACCCGCGTTAAATAACCTGTTGTACACACATGCTTGCCGCATACATCCATCAAACGAGTGTCATATCTTGTATGAACCTCCCTCGGTCCGTTTTTCAGAAGAGGCGGTCGACGGTTAGTTGTTGATGCGTCAGGATAGTCAGTCCGCGAGATTGCCGGTTCGTCCACTGGATCCTGTCCAAATGTGTCCGCACGGGCCAACTGCCGTTCAGGACCAGAAGATGCCTGCCCTGGCTTAGCGTCTCTGGAGAACGACGGCTGTCGGTGGATTTGCGTGGGTGTCTGTATCTCCCTTGGGGGCAGTTGAAATGATTGCGGTCTAGACGATGGTTCAGGATGGGAGGGGCCATCCAGATGAAGTGACGGCCGAGACGGAGACGCGCCACCCCTTCGCGCCAAGGACGAATGGCGTGGCGGGAGGCTGGGAGGCTCGGTTGGAGTATCGGTCGCTTGAAGCCTGCGAGATGACAACGGCGCAGCTGACCAGGGCTCTGTCTGCTTCAATGGATGCGGGGGGACCTGTACCATCAACGGTTTCATGTCCCGCATCGGTTCCGGGATGGGTCTCCTGCGTGAGAACCCAAGTTCGCGCGCATCCCGCATAGCATACACAGACGGCACGGGGTTCCTGTCATCAAACGATTGACGACTTGGGGGTTCAGTCATCGGCCGAGATGGAGAGCGTGGCATCTGCGGACGTCCGCAAGATGATGGTTTTACGGACGATTTTTCGGGACTGCCTGGTGGCGTGCTGAACGGTGATATTCGATCCTCCGACGCTGTCTTCTCGGATTTGGGTGCCAGAGTTGCGCTCTCATGGGAAGTTAAGGCTGCCGGCTTTGCAGGGACCTTTGGCTTCTCTGCCCGATCGATGGGGGGAGGCAATGAAGAGCTTTTTTGCTTTCGATCGGGCGGACTCTCACTGATGAAGCTCCCCGAATGAGAATGCGCTGGCGACAAATGACCAGGCAGCTGCTGGGACTTCGGGGAATTGGGCGTTGTCGGTCGGTTTCTCGGCGGCGGCAATGAGCCCCGAGAGTGGCCCGGGGGACTGCGGGACATCCTGGAGTTGACGGTATGCTCACCGTGGTTTTGGGATCCAAATCCCCGCGGAGGTGATCGCGGCGAGTCAACCGTCAAAGTCGGTGCCAGTTGCGGCGACGAGTGGAAGTTCATCGACATGGGTCTACTCTGCCTTCTGCCTGGAGATCTTTCCGGGGAGCCGCTTCGCCGTGAGAATCCGCCATTTGCCCGATCGTACCGGTGGCCGTTCTGAGGCTTTGCCGTCGCATTCCATGGGGATTGAGGCCGAGGAAGGTCGAGAGAAGCGCGCGCGGAGCGCACCTCGTCAACAGGTTCGGGCGTCCTCAGGAAGGGAGTCGAATCATGCGAACTAGTAGCTGTAAAGGCTGATGGTGATCGGCGATGGGACAGGTTCTCGAAATGTGACAGAAGGGAGGAAACCGGCCGCTGGGGAAATTTTCAGGATCAGTAAAAGATGCTCATACACTCGCACAGGAAGCGCAAATCATACAATAGGAGCATTATCCGTGCCGTCCTTGTCCTTGCCGCTCCCCTCCATGACCACAACGAGAGATTGCGCGCAGGAAGGGCGGGGAGATATGAATCATAGGCCTTTGTCGAATCTCGAACCTTTTGTCCGGTGTGTTGTTATTTTAAGACGACGTTCGGTATTGGGAGTCGGGACAAGTAGCCGAGAAGAGACTCGAGGTAAATATTGTGGCGGGGAGGTCAAGAAGTCAGGTGCAGGTCGTTGGGTATAAATGAGCGAGAACGGATCGAGAAAGAAAACTGAGCAGGAGAAATGACCGTCCAGAAGTCATCTGACAAAGATCTTGAGCCGCAGCTGGAGTTATACTTAGATAGTAGCTGGAGAGGAGCACTCGGGAAAAGGCGAGGATGAAG